AAAAAAAAAAAAAAAAAAAAAAAAAAAAAGTAGTAAAATTGTTACACTCTTACAACTCCAAGTTATACATGTATAGTTTTGGAGATAGGTCCCTCTGCTCCTCAGGCTGGAATGCAGTGGCGCAATTATGGCTTGCTATAGCCTTGACTTCCCAGGCTCAAGTAAGTGGTCCTTCACCTCTCAGCCTCCCAAGTAGCTGAGGCCACAGGTGTGCACCACCACACCCAGCTAATATTTGTCTTTTAGTAGAGATAAGGTCTTGCTATGTTGTCCAGGCTGGTCTCAAACTTCTGGCCTCAAGTAATCCTCCCGCCTCAGCCTCCCAAACTGTTGGGATGACAGGTATGAGCCACTGCACACAACCAAAAGTTTTTTTTTTTTTGAGATGGAGTACAGTGGTATGACTTCAGCTTACTGCAACCTCTGCTTCTCAGGTTCAAGCAATTCTCCTGCCTCAGCCTTCCAAGCAGATGGGATTACAAGTGCCTGCCACCATTGCCTGGCTTTTTTTTTTTTTTTTTTTTTTTTTTTGAGAGTTTCACTCTCATTGCCCAGGCTGGAACGCAATGGTGCAATCTCAGCTCACTGCAACCTACGCTTCTCAGGTTCAGGCAATTCTTCTGCCTCAGCCTCCGGAATAGCTGGGATTACAGGCATGCGCCACCATGCCCGGCTAATTTTGTATTTTTAGTAGAGATGGGGTTTCACCATGTTGCTCAGGCTGGTCTCAAACTCCTGATCTCAGGCGATCCACCCACCTTGACCTCCCAAAGTGTTGAGATTACAGGTGTGAGCCACCGCGCCCAGCCAACCAAAACTAGTATTTTTAAAACAGTAAACCTTGAAAAATCTTTAGAATGTAGGTTGAGGATAACTACTTCATCCTTGGAAATGCTAAAACACATGAAACCCAGGCAGGGCCTAAGAATCAAAGGAGGTTCTGCACAGTCTGGGACTCCCCTCGCCAGCTCTGTACCCTCTAAGGCACCATCATCACAGCTTTTTTTAAGGCTATGTTTCTGAAGAAAAAATCCTCTTCCCTACACCAAAGGGAAAAAGCTCTGAGGCAGGCCGCCCTTACCTCTCCATTTCCCCTTTCATCAGTCACCAAGGCCTGTGCTCTTTGTCACTCACTAGCTGTATCGTTTCTCATATATTTTTACAAATAATGTGATGTAATATGTGGTGGCTCATGCCTCTAATTCTAACACTTTGGGCGGCTTGGGTGGAGGGATCACTTGAGCCCAGGAATTCAAGACCAGCCTGAACAAAATAGTAAGACCCATCTCTACTGAGAGAGAAAAAAAAAAAAAAAGCCAATGAGGCTGGGCACGGTGGCTCATGCCTGTAATCCTAGCACTTTGGGAGGCTGAGGTGGGCGGATCGCCTGAGGTCAGGAGTTCGAGATCAGCCTGGCGAACATGGTGAAACCCCGTCTCTACTAAAAATACAAAAAATTAGCCGGGTGTGGTGGTAGGCACCTGTAATCCCAGCTAACTCAGGAAGCTGAAGCAAGAGAATCACTTGAACCCGGGAGGCAGAGGTTGCAGTGAACCAAGATCACACCACTGCACTCCAGTCTGGGCAACAAGAGTGAAACTCTGTCTCAAAAAATATATATATACATATATACACACACACACACACACACACACACACACACACACACAGACATATAAAATGTATATATAGGGCTGGGCGCAGTGGCTCACACCTGTAATCCCAGCACTTTGGGAGGCCGAGGCGGGTGGATCATGAGGTCAAGAGATCGAGACCATCCTGGTCAACATGGTGAAACCCCGTCTCTACCAAAACTACAAAAAATTAGCTGGGCATGGTAGTGGGTGCCTGTAATCCCAGCTATTCAGGAGGCTGAGGCAGGAGAATTGCCTGAACCCAGGAGGCGGAGGTTGCGGTGAGCCGAGATCACGCCATTTCACTCCAGCCTGGGTAACGAGCGAAACTCCATCTCAAAAAAAAAAAAAAAAA